AATTTATCGATGACTGTGCAATAATCGAATCGATAAATATTTTACATTTTCTCGAAACTCATTCTGAGAACTATATCGTAGAGATATCGAATGATTTAAATAGATATCAAAAGTAGTTAAACGGATATTAAACGTATGTGTCAAAAAATACGAATAATTCGTTTCACAGACAAGTTTTTTTTTAATTTTAATTTTAATTTTTTTAATTGTACTATTAATATATTTTTTTGTAAACTTTTTAAGAAACGCGTTTGATGTAACTTTAACTATTTTCAATATTCATTTAGATCAATTCGATGAGTCCATAATATAGTTCTCGAAGCGAGTTCGATAAAATGTGGACAATATATTTTTTATAGATGTTGCGTTACAAAAAAATGACGAGTTATACGTATTTTTTAAATTTGACGTCAAACTATAATTGGGGATTTGGAAGGAAAAACGGCGAAATTTGACCTCGAAAACGATGTCCACCAAGCGAAGCTAGGTGGCTATGACGTGCGTGTCGAAAAGAGCTTTCTGAATTGGGGTCATGGGCTCAATTCCGATAACTGTAGCAAAACTTATAGCCAAATTAAAATAATAATAATAATAATAATAAATTTAGAAAAAAATAAGTCCGTAAGGATAAAAAAAAAAGTAAAATTAGACACTCCGCGCAGCGCGGAGTGCCTGAATTCAAAATTAAAATTTTTTTTTACTTATATTTTTGTGTTCATTTTCAAGCTCATTACAGAATATCAAATAAAGTCGAAATATTATATTCTTAATATCGTTTTGAAGTATTCGCGACATAGTATTGCACGTCGTTCACAGTGCGTGAAACGGTCAATCATAGCAAATATTATCGGATGTCAAAATAGATATGTTCAAACTATATTTCAAAATTTTCGATAATGAGCTAACTTTAAAAATTTATCGACGACTGTACAATAATCGAATCGATAAATATTTTACATTTTCTCGAAACTCATTCTGAGAACTATATCGTAGAGATATCGAATGATTTAAATAAATATCAAAAGTAGTTAAACAGATATTAAACGTATGTGTTAAAAAATACGAATAATTCGTTTCACAGACAAGTTTTTTTTTTAATTTTAATTTTAATTTTTTTAATTGTACTATTAATATATTTTTTTTGTAAACTTTTTAAGAAACGCGTTTGATGTAACTTTAACTATTTTCGATATTCATTTAGATCAATTCGATGAGTCCATAATATAGTTCTCGAAGCGAGTTCGATAAAATATAGACAATATATTTTTTATAGATGTTGCGTTACAAAAAAATGACGAGTTATACGTATTTTTTAAATTTGACGTCAAACTATAATTGGGGATTTGGAAGGAAAAACGGCGAAATTTGACCTCGAAAACGATGTCCACCAAGCGAAGCTAGGTGGCCATGACGTGCGTGTCGAAAAGAGCTTTCTGAATTGGGGTCATGGGCTCAATTCCGATAACTGTAGCAAAACTTATAGCCAAATTAAAATAATAATAATAATAATAATAATAAATTTAGAAAAAAATAAGTCAGTAAGGATAAAAAAAAAAAGTAAAATTAGGCACTCCGCGCGCGAAGTGCCTGAATTCAAAATTAAAATTTTTTTTTTACTTATATTTTTGTGTTCATTTTCAAGCTCATTACGGAATATCAAATAAAGTCGAAATATTATATTCTTAATATCGTTTTGAAGTATTCGCGACATAGTATTGTACGTCGTTCACGGTGCGTGAAACGGTCAATCATAGCAAATATTATCGGACGTCAAAATAGATATGTTCAAACTATATTTCGAAATTTTCGGTAATGAGCTAACTTTAAAAATTTATCGACGACTGTACAATAATCGAATCGATAAATATTTTACATTTTCTCGAAACTCATTCTGAGAACTATATCGTAGAGATATCGAATGATTTAAATAAATATCAAAAGTAGTTAAACGGATATTAAACATATGTGTTAAAAAATACGAATAATTCGTTTCACAGACAAGTTTTTTTTTAATTTTAATTTTAATTTTTTTAATTGTACTATTAATATATTTTTTTTGTAAACTTTTTAAGAAACGCGTTTGATGTAACTTTAACTACTTTCGATATTCATTTAGATCAATTCGATGAGTCCATAATATAGTTCTCGAAACGAGTTCGATAAAATATAGACAATATATTTTTTATAGATGTTGCGTTACAAAAAAAATGATGAGTTATACGTATTTTTTAAATTTGACGTCAAACTATAATTGGGGATTTGGAAGGGAAAACGGCGAAATTTGACCTCGAAAACGATGTCCGCCAAGCGAAGCTAGGTGGCCATGACGTGCGTGTTGAAAAGAGCTTTCTGAATTGGGGTCATGGGCTCAATTCCGATAACTGTAGCAAAACTTATAGTCAAATTAAAATAATAATAATAATAATAATAAATTTAGAAAAAAATAAGTCCGTAAGAAAAAAAAAGAATAAAATTAGACACTCCGTGCTGCGTGGAGTGCCTGCCAGTGAGCCCTCCGCGCTGTGCGGAGTGCCTGAATTCAAATTTTTAATTTTTTTTTACTTATGTTTTTGTGTTTATTTTCAGGCTCATTACGAAATATCAAATGAAGTCGAAATATTATATTCTTAATATCGTTTTGAAGTACTCGTGACATAGTATTGCACGTCGTTCACGGTGCGTGAAACGGTCAATCATAGCAAATGTTATCGGACGTCAAAGTAGGTATGTTCAAACTATATTTCGAAATTTTCGATAACAAGCTAACTTTAAAAATTTATCAACGACTGTGCGATAATCGAATCGATAAATATTTCACATTTTCTCGAAACTCATTTTGAGAACTATATCGTAGAGATATCGAATGATTTAAATAGATATCAAAAGTAGTTAAACGGATATTAAACGTATGTGTTAAAAAATACGAATAATTCGTTTTTCTTAAAAAAAATCAATTATTTTATTACTATTTCGAAATTTTCGATAACAAGTTAACTTTAAAAATTCGTCGACGATTGTACGATAGTCGAATCGATAAATGTTTTACATTCTCTCAAAACTCATTTTGAGAACTATATCGTAGAGATATCGAATGATCTAAATAAATATCGAAAATAGTTAAACGGAGATTAAACGTACGTGTTAAAAATGCATTTTTTTAAAAAAAATTATTTCTTTATTCCTTTTTAATTCTTTTTTGTTTGACATCAAATTGGTTTTTTTTTTTTTTTTTGGTTTTGACGTAAAATTTTTTAATAATCATTCTTTTATGTAAAAAATTGTATTAGATTATTTTAAAAATTAATTTATCAAGAAGAAAAAGTAACAATAAGAAAAAAAATTCCTACAAATTATCGAATTTTTTTTATATATAAAATTTTTTTAGATGTTAAAATAATTAAGATGAAAAATTTGTTGGCTCAATTTCTTGTTGCTATAATTTAAATGTATTTTTTCAAACATTATTATTCTAGTCTAAGTGATTATTTTACTTATAAATGATGTATTTGATAATACTATATTCAATATAAATAAGTCGTTTAATTAATCGAATCATTTTTTTTATTGTTGAATATCTAATTGATATAATTAAATTGTTTAATTAATCGAATCAATTTTTTATTGTTTGCAGTCTCCCTTTGTTACCTTATTTAATATGCTAATATCTCCTTTTATAAAATTCAAGCCATGCATTGCATGGCACAAGACTAATATATATATAAACCACTGTTATGGTGATGTATGGTGGTAAGTTGGTGTGTTCTAATGCAGTATAGCAATCAATTAAGCAAATTTTATTAAAAATTGAGATATAGAGAATGACATTTGAAAACAAGTTCTTGTTTGGTGTCGTTCAAAATTAGGAATGGCAAAAAAATTCGTCCCGAACGAGTTGGCAAGGCGCCAATGCCCAGCCCCTTGAAGAAAAAGTAAAAAAAAATTAAAAATAATTTTATTTCTAGATAATTCATCCTTTAAAAATCCATTTTGAATTTGTATTTTATTTTTTAATAATAACATAATTCGAAATGTTGAAAATGTAAAAAAAAATAAGCGAGGCAACAAGTGGGACAAAAAGTTGCGTCGTTCCTGCCTCGCCTTGTCTAAGGCAGGGTGTGGGGTGGGGCGGGCTTAGGGCCAAACGGGCCTTGAACCTGCCCTGTTGCGATCACTACTCAAAATCTTGAAAAAAAATTAAGTTAAGATTAACAATTAATTTTAACCATATATTTTATGTGATCCACAACTTTTTCTCAACTTTTCAATCACACACTTCACTGGATTTTATTAAAATATGCTATAAATTTAATTTTTAACTACACTAAACTAAACAGGGAGTAAATTCAAATTCAGTGACTCAATTGCAATAATTTTAATTTTAGTAATTCAATTGAGATTTTGCTGAAAGTTCAATGACCTCTAATGAAATTTACCAATTAAATGCAAAATAAAGAAAGAAGCCAGTTTAAATATTATTGGAAACATTGATTACCATGGATTGGCTGTTTTCATTTATCTAATATAGTAATATATGTCATGAGCTAAACACTTATCGTTAAAAAAAAATGTGCCAGAATGATAGTTGGATAATAATACCTTTAAAGAAGTCACCGTGCCCAAAACAAGTGACTCGTTTTTAAGAAATCAACATTTTTTATCTAGTGGAGGCCAACACGGGCCGGGATGATAGTTTAAGAATTTAAAAGCCACAAAAATTGATTAAGGACCCAAGTGCTTTATTCTGAAAATGTGGGGGTTGCGATGACAAATTTTCCAACAGTAGAAATAATGTGAGAAAGTTACAAATCATCCACCAAGAAGGTTTAAAATCGCACGTCAGTCTTACTCACATGGAATTAGTTACCAGTGAATGCAAATTGGCAGTTAAACTTTAGGTGAAGAACAGCAAAACCCTTTAATTCTTTTGAGGACTCTCCATGAATTCTCTTTGCGTTTCAAATTTTAAACCACATATCCTATTGTAAATCGAGAGAGGGAGATGAAGAATGTGATGTCGTTACATTTTTCATATCTTAGTAAATGCGCGACATCAATGTGTAATGTGCTGACGTGCCAAAAAATGTATTGAGACGATAATCTAGATGACAACAAATGTGAGATTGTTAAGGCGCACAGATAACAAGTACTGGTGTATCCAAATTCACTTGGGTGCAGGGTTCAACATTTAATTCACAAGGCACACAAGTTTCCATGTTATCGTCTTCTTCGACATCCTTCTTGTCCTCGTCTTGGCTTGTTTCATTCTTACTCGCACATTTTTGGAAATCAATTCCTAACATCATGATGTTTATAACATGCTCGGGCAAATTTTTCTCCTCCATAACTGGTTTTGCATTCCTAAAGAGTCCATACAATAGCATCTGAAGCAGCCCCAAGAAGAACCCGATAACGTTCGGAAGCTACACACATTGGAATACAAAACGAATGATTAAAACCGATAATTATACGGTCTAGCGAAAATAAAGTCGAGTTTTTATTTACTCACAGTAATGCATATATCCTTTAGAAATAGACCATAAGCAAACCATGTGATGGCACTCACTGTCAGGAAAAATGACAAGCCGAATGGCATGAATTCAACACTGCGAGTTCGAACAACTTGAAACTGTTGGAAATTAGATGAAAACAAACGTTGTCATAGTTCAGAATCAACTACAAAACATAGTCAAACATGTGCCTGTATAGAGGCAGGTTGTAGTTAGTTAAGTCACCACAATGCTTAGGGGTGCTGCGAAAACGCAGACAGAAACCGCAACACAAATCCATCCCACAATACCAACGCGATGTTGATTGAAAACAAAGAGGGCAAGTAGAAATATCAGAGAAAATAGCCCTATATTCAAAGAAGCCAATAGCTTTATTGTGTGAATCTGCGAATCATAACACATTTGAGAACAGCTTATTTCAGTTTTCGAATCAAATGCCAAATATTTGAACTTGGAGGTCACCATACTTACGTACCCTGGCCTTTTTTGAAGCGTAAAGAAGGTAGAAGAAGATGTAAATTGCCTCAATAATGCATCCAAAGGAGTTGATGGAGACGAGGAGAAATGCATTTGTCTTGAGAAATGAGTACAGTAGCCAAAGCATGGCAGCAAATAGTGCTACTACATATGGTAGAGATTGGAATCCCATTGTTGATTTTTCTCTGTAGATTCGTATGAATGTAGGCCTGCAATCAAATTAAAGGCACACTGCCGTCTTACTCCATAATTATTTTTTTTCTTTTTCTCAATTTTGCAGAAATTAGGAAAACGTGGTACTTACAAAGGAGCAAGGTATACCAAGACAGAAACGATGTTACCTGACCCGAAGAAGAAACTTGTCATTATGATAATCCAAATGGAAGACTCCTAAGAAATTTTTGCGTGAAATAAAGACGAAAAACCTTATTAAGGGAAGGTTGATCATGCAAATAGTTTTGTAGCATGAATATGGAAATAATTAAACGGTACATCACCTACAATAAACTCCTAATCTGATCATTTAATTATAGCTATGTAAGCATTCTAAAACTGATTAATTTGGGGTTAAGAAGCTTCTTGATTGGAAGGAGTTAAAGGAGAGGACGAGAAACCAGTGAAAAATCTGTCAGCATTTTTACCTAAGACACCAAATGCAAACACCCACGGGTGGTGAAGGTCAAAAATAGGCATCACTGTGATAATAGAAGAACAACCTCGTGCAAATGGTAAGCGAAGGTATCGAAATGGGATTTCAATGGCGACTATTTATATATGAGGTGATGAAAGAGAGAATGAAACTCATATTTGTTGCGTGATAACTAGGATCATAGTAGGTGGCATACGATAAAATCATTCACCAAAAAATGATAACTCTTAGCCTCACGTGCATTTGCACTTGCATGGAGCGCATGAAACTGCTATGTACCAATTGCCAAATGCAATTTGACAGTGTAATTCATTGTTGTATATAGACAAAGTTTCCTGTATCAAGTTCCATATCCACATTCATGGATTATTGTGGGAAGCATGAGAGATTTTTTGACTCTAGTAATGGTCTCAGTTGTGATCGTTAAGATATATGGTTAGATTGTTTGTTCTAGTTTTATGCTTCGAAACAGTATATCGTGCATTCGAAGTCGAGTTTAAGCAGTTAACAAAAAATTTTAGTTCAACCATTTTGAAACCCACATTTCCATGGTAACATTCAGAGCCCTTGCTGACTTTCTAGATTGTGCAAAGGCCGATAAAGACAAGGGGAAGTTTTTTTCATAAACCAATCAAATACAACACTTTAAACAGAAAACAAAATCAGTTTGCTTAGAACATCAAAAGTGAAACAGGCAATGAGTTCTCATCAAGAAGAAACCAAGGCATGTAAATTGTTTTCATGTTGTAACATGTTGATTAGCTGATGTTACACAAGATGACTACAAACGGGATGTGCTTTTATAGAAGAATTCTACAGCAGCCACAGAAGTATCCCTCCAGGTGTTCATTCCCAAAATTTTTCAATTCGTCCACTACCTGTGTATGTATATGTACACTCTTAACGATCCACTTCATTTTACAAAAATAGGGGGTTGGGGGGAACAAGTTTTTAAAAAACGAACAGAAAAAAAGGCCCTATGTCTCTTCCTTCGAGCTTTGACACTGGTACCTTAAACAAGTTCCAACTGCCAGTACTTGAGTTGGAAGTTCAGCAAGGTGGATGCTTCTACGCAAGTTCAAAGCCAAGGTGGAAAATGGAGCCTAATAATGTATATAAGGTACTACC